TTATGCTATCCATTTGCTATATGGTTAGTTTCATCTGTGGGTGTTTAATTTTAGTTTTTTTCCCTCCATCTTTGTTTATTTAATAATTTTGGGAGGTATAAAACAGGTTAAAAAACACATTAAAACGATGTGCCAGTTTACTTTGTCAAAAAATGTCTCTGGCTGCTGGGCGGAGAGTAGATTCGAGAAAGAGCAGGATAGAAGTGGGAGGTTCAGAGGCTATTTTGTTGGTCCAGCCCAGAGATGATGTTGGCAGTAAAGATGGAGAAATGTGGATCTAGTTTGATAAGATTTAGTGATATGTTCATTTTTGGGGTGGAGAAGTAAGGATAAAATCAAGGGTTATGCCCAGTTACCTGGTTTGAGCAGCAAGTGTTTGGGGTACCGTTGACTGAGGTGGGAAAGTGTATGTAGGAGAGGACAGTTGGTGACAAAGGACATTAAACTAAATACCTAATTTTAGACATGTTAGCTTGGAGTTTCCTTTTAGATGTGAAAGTGGAGATGTTGACTAGGTGGTTGGATATAGGTGTGGGGAGCTTAGATAAGCAGTCTAAGCCAGAGATATGGATTGGAAAATCATCAATATAGAGATTCCATTGACTGCCAAGGGACTGAGTGAGAACATGTAGGAAGAGAGAAGAGCGCTGAGGCCCCAGGAGCTCTAGACTCAGATGTACGGCAAAGAGGAGGTGTGAGTGAGGCAGGGACAAAGCTAGGAGAGTGTGGCCTCTTAGAAGCAGAAAGAGGTGAACATTTCAAGAAGTGAGCAACTGTGTTGAGGGCTGCTGAGAAAATTGGATTAAATTGTTGTCTTTAGAGACGTTGACAAGAACATTTTCAGTGGAGTGTTGGGGAGTAACAGCCAGATTGCTGTTAACATCCATCATCCTTTTCAGAATATAATTCTGAGAAAGGTTGCCTCCTATGGTTAATAAGGATGTGTTAAAATGCTAAGTTCATGGAAACAGGAAAACATTGTGATTTACCTTAGAACAAGTAAGCCTCTATTCAAGATCTGAATATACCTTATATCAGGGGGAAAAATCTGGGATCGAAATTAAATACAAATTTAAAACTGCTCATTCACGACAGATTTCTCCTAAACCCTCTTCCTTTCCTTGCATGCATACTTATAGGAGAGAAAATTCTAGAAGCTGGAGATCTTTTGTTGACTGAGCATAATGAGGTCAGCAGAAAAATGGCCTGGATAGGAATTTTCAGTGATGTTCCTGGGATTGTAGAATTGGGAGAATATGGGCAGAGCTCTAATTATATGGCATAAAAAAGGGGACATTTAGAGGATGCTAGATTCCATTTGGAGGGTCTACTGAAGGCGGAGAGGCTTTTAAAGGAATCATGAGAGCAGAGAATTTGGGGAGGAATAATGTGCCATGAGTCATGTGCTGTGAAACCTTTCCTCTCGCCAAGGAAATTTGCAGTAAAATGTCTATCTCTTACTAGGGTCTGGTGCGGTGTAGGGGCTTTTCAGTGGTGCGACAAAGTGCTAAGTGGTCCTTCATCGAGGATGAGACAGGACCTGTTTTCACCTGGGTTGCAAACTAGTTACTAATGTTCATGTCAACTTCAACTTCAAGCTTCTTGCCTTCTCCTAATTCCAACATTACTAAGCTTATGCTGTAGCCCATATTTATGAGAATAGTGGCAAGTCAGTTTTTTTCCAAATGAATTTCCCCAGTATCCATATATAATCTTTTCTCTCTCCCCCTTCTTCCCTAACCTTCTTTTCCCAATGCCTTAGGGTTTTTATCTCTAATCTTGAATGGAAGCTTCCCCATAAAATGGTACCCCCCAATATTAATTTAGGTGAAACCATGCTAGCTGCCGTGCCCCAAATCTCAGTGGTTCAGTGAATCAAAGGTTTATTTCTCGCTTCTATGACATGTCCATCTTGGGTCTGTAAGGGCCTTGTCCCACAGAGTCACCCAGGAGCCCAGGCTGAAGGAAGCTCTATTGTCTTGTAGATGGATCTGGAAAACGTGGCCTCTGAGATTATCAACTAAAGAGGAGGAGAGTGGCATGGAAGAGGCACCAGCTCATAATTGTTCAGGCTTAGTAGTGACACTGGCCACTTCTGCTCATGGCCCATTGGCCAAAAGTAGGCACATGGGCCCAGCCTGACTGCAAGAGAGGCTGGGAAATGTAGGAGAGCCCGTGGGATATTTAGTGAGCACTTTCTCTGCTACCCCTACTAATTGGAATACTATGAGACCCAAGCTACATTATAATTTCAAACAACTTATGAATATAATTTGTATATGACAGGGAATTCCTTGGTGGTCCAGTGGTTAGGACTCCGTGCTTATGGTGCAAGGGGCATGGGTTCCATCCCTAGTCGGGGAACTAAGATCCCACTAGCACAGCCAAAAAATAAGAAAATAAATAAAATAAAATAATATAAAATAATTCTCCTTTAAAAAGTAATTTGTATATGACAGTTTGCTAATCTATTCTCATAGACATTTGCTGGGGTTTATTTTTTATTAAAAACTTTTTTTATCTGCCTTCTTTTTCTCCCCACTTTTACTAAGAAGTAATTGACACACGACACTGTGTAAGTTTAAGGTAGAAATCCTGATGGTTTGATTTACATATATTGTGAAATGATTATCACAGCTAAGCATGGGCTTAGTTAACATCCATCATCTCATATAGATACAGTACAAAGAGAAGAAAAAAATTCTTGCGATGAATTAAGATCTAACCTCTTAACAACTTTCCTATCTATCATACAGCAGTGTTAATTATAGTCATCATATACGTGGCATCCTTAGTACTTATTACTCTTGTAAGTTTAGACCTTTTCACCACCTTCCTTCAGTTTCCCTCCTCCCACCCCCCCCATCTCTGGTAACTACAAATCTGATCTCTTTTTCTATAAGTTTCGTGTTTTTCTTTTTGTTTTAAACTAATATAAATTTGTATTTCACTTATATTTAAATAAATTTCATGTAAGTGAGATCATACAGTATTTGTCTTGTCTTTCTCTGACTGACTTCACTCAGCATCATGTTGGTTTTAGCATTTGCTGGGTTTTATTGCTTCTTTATCAGTTTCTTCAAACTTACTCTCTAGCTTTAGCCTACATTTATTGATATTATTATTTTTTAAATTTATATTTTATTGAAGCACGGTTGATTTACAGTGTTGTGTTAATTTCTGGCGTGCAGCAGAGTGATTCAGTTATATATACACACGTTCTTCTTCATGTTCTTTTCCATGATCGTTCATCACAGGATACTGAATATAGTTTCCTGTGCTCTGCAGTAGGACCTTGTTGTTTATCCGTCCTATACATAATAGTTCGCACCTGCTAACCCCAAACTCCCAATCCTTCCCTCCCCCAGCCCCCTCCCCCTCCCCCCTCGGCAGCCACAAATCTGTTCTCTATGTCTGTGAGTCTGTTTTGTAAATAAGTTCATTTGTATCATTTTTTTTTTTAGATCCCACATATAAGTGATGTCATATGGTATTTGTGTTTCTCTTTCTGACTTACTTCGCTTAGTATGGTAATCTCTAGGTCCATCCATTTTGCTGTAAATGGCATTATTTCATTCTTTTTTATTAGCCTCCACTTTTTTAGGCCTGAAATATACATACATGTTAAGGAAAAGTGATGGGGGCTATTAATGGCCTCTCCTCTCTGTCTCTTTTCAACTTGGCTATATATTCCTTGAGGTTCTTCACAACTTCTCATGAGGAGGTACATGTGTAAATGTGGAACTTATCTGCTTCCAGGGAGGGGAACTGACTTTATATATTTCTATCCATCTGATATTTATCTTATTTAATCATTCTGTCATTCACTTATTTATGAATTCATATTTATTTGTGGACTTTTATCCGCATGAAATGAAAACAAGTCAGTGATGGTGAAAATTCTTCACTTCAGCTTTTACTGTAGGTGATCGTTTCCTCTTTCTTGGTTGTTCCTTTGGCTTGGCTATTCTGTTTTAGGAACGGTCTTACCCAGATGGTAAATTGTTAGATAGGACCAGGGCAGGTAGTGCAGGGGCTGCATGGGAGCAGAAGGGGGCCGGGCCATGTGGCCTCTGAGCCTCGCTGTGTTCCAGGTTGCAGCACTGACTGGAATCATTACTGGACTTATGAGATCCTTCTGGGAGATGCATTGCTAAAAGGGTCTCACTGTTTATTGAGGTTGTCCTTAGTATCATCATGGGACCCTCAGGAATTCATTTCTATCCCAGAAGATAAGAATTTCATTTAGGAAGGACCAGAGAACCTGCCATGGTCCACGGTCTGTGAGAGAAATAGGAAGGGATGTGGGGTATCCTACAGAGTGGGACAATTACATGGATCCCAGTGATTCATTTTGTTTCTTGAGGGGTTTGGACAGAATTGAGCTGACCTTCACCATGATCTCCATGCAAAGATCCTTTGCCACTTTTGGAAATGTCCCTCTGCCTTTGAGAGGCAGTACACCCTCTTATGGCCCCTGCCTACATCATGTCACTAGAGAAGTCCATGGCTTGATGATATTAACCCAATGGGAAATCAGGGAGGAAAGCAAGGGGGCGTTACACTAACCTTTCTCCTTCCCTTTGTTCTCTGCAAGGCCGTTTGTGTTTTGTTGAAGAAAACAGCATCTCAAAGGCCCTCCTCTGGCCTTGAAGACCATATGCACGGAAGACCAGACTAGCCTGTAGAAAAGAGCTGGTAGAAAATGGAGACTCTCACTATAACGTATCTTTTGTTCCATGGGGTTCCTGTCTGCAAATCACATGTTGGTCATTGCAGCTAGTACCAGCACCTGAAAAATAAGAAAGACTTTAAAAAAAAATAAAAAGGTAGTAGCTCTTTCTCTTCAGGTATTACGAACAGGAAAAGTTATAAAACTAATAAAATTTGAAATCTCGCCCAATTTATGCTCAATAAATAGTTTAAAAATACTTTCAGATTTAAGACCGGAGGTAATCCTATAAGCAAATACATTTTTTCCTTTCTTTTCTCTTCTCTAGGCTTTTCCTCCAAATGCCATCACTGTATTTTTTTACTGCAGCTCAGTGACGATATTCTTCACAATAATCAAATTGATCAGTTATCGCCTACACCTCATGTTTGATAAAGGAGAAGTGATTCAGCAAAGGCCCTCCAGAAAGAAGGAAAAGCCAAGTAAAGACAAAGAGGCCCTCAGTGACCACATAACCAATCATAAAAATACAGGGTAACATTTCTCATTAATGCATTAGTTCATAATTTAAAGGTTTTAATTTTGATTAAAATAATTTTTCTCATGTATGAGTTGTTTGTGAAAATATGCCAGGAGAGGCAGACCCAAATATGTACATTTTTCTTATATTTAAACATACACTTAGGCATAAAAATAATGCCTAAGTTGATAGGCATTTTATGATAATGCCTTACCGTTGATAATCCAGACGGTTTAACTGACTATTTAATATGACCTTATACCATGCTCTGAAATTCATTTGCATTAGGCTTAGCGTAGCAAAATATTTCACTTCAGTATTTTTATCTCATCATCTCAATGCTTAGTGCATGCCAGAGTATTTTCAGAAAGAACATTTGTGTTTGTTAATATAAAAGTAATACATTGCATAGAACTAAAATATTAAGAGTAATTCTCAAGTGAGCATTCATCACTATTCTTGGTCTTATTTCTGATAGTTCCTTAAGAGAGCATGTCTTATTTTAAAGTAATGTTTATTAGCTTTTAAAAATAAAATTTGTATACCGTGAACTCTTCCCCTTTTTTATACATATATTTTTTTTATTGAAATATAGTTGACTTACAATGTTGTGTTAGTTTCAGGTGTACAACAAAGTGATTCAGTTATGTGTGTGTGTATGTGTGTGTGTGTATATATATATATATATATATATATATATACACACATACTTTTTCAGATTCTTTTCCCATATAGTTATTACAAAATATTGAGTATAATTCCCTGTGCTATCCAGTAGGTCCCTGTTGTCCATCTCTTTTATACATAGTAGTGTGTATATGTGACTCCCAAATTCCTAATTTATCCCTCCCCGTCCTTTTCCCCTTTGGTAACCATAAGTTTGTTTTCTAAGTCTGTTTCTGTTTTGTATATAAGTTCATTTGTGTCATATCATAGATTCCACATATAAGTGATACCATATGGTATTTGTCTTTCTCTGTCTGACTTACTTAGTATGATAATCTCCAGGTCCATCCATGTTGCTGCAAATGGCATTCTTTCTTTCTTTTTTTATGGCTGAGTAATAGGCCATTGTGTATACCATGAATTGGACAAAGTGGAATCAAGGAAAAAAAATTGTTTGAGGACTAAGGTCAAAAGAGCCATAGTTTTATTTGATAATATCACTGCCCCTGTGTTTCTCATGGTGGCTTAGCAATAATGGGCGGATTAACAACGGCAAAAAGGAAGAGGCCAGTCGAACCCTCTCCACGCCTCCCGTCCACGGCAGCTCCAGAGGACAGAGCATAAACTCTCATCATTCATCTGGGCTCCTGGTTAGTGGTCTGTTTTCTGTTTCACTCTCCTCATGCCGCTGGAGTGTTGATCATGGAAGTGTGCAATGGTGGTGACTGCAACTTATGTGCACTGGTTGTAAATTCTGGCCTCTTGGTGGCAATGACCTGAGGGGAGCACATGGACCATGAGATAAACACCCAGTCACCCGTTCCAAGCACACCCACCGGCCTTCTCTGCAGTCTGCCTGCCCTGCCGAGACTGCACCACGGCCAGAAGAACCCATAAGCTCACCTTCACTGCCCTCTCCCTGGTCCTGTCTGTCATTCATCTCAATCATCGTATTTGCAATGCTTTCCCCTGGAATCCACTCCACCACTCCACATGAAATCATACTTAAATCACCTTTATTCTAGATTCACTTTCTTGGGCTCTATTCACTATAGTCTGAAGTAGCCCATTAGTTTTTCTCCTTACTTTCTTAATTACCAAACTCCCTTTTCTCACAGCACCGTGGGCTTCATTGGATGTCTACACTCTAGATATTTTTGTGTCCATCTTTGCTACCCGTTTTCTAAGTGGACACTCTGTTGTGTCTTTCCCATGTGCCATTGAGAGAAACAGTGGCTGCTGACTGCCTGGAAGTGGGCAGGGAGCTGAGTCATATTGATTGATTTTTGTTCTTTAATTTATTTAGGAGCTGCCAGAACAGGAAACAGTGGAAGATCTCAAAGGTAGAGTGCTTATTCTCATCATTTAATATTTTATCACAGCATTATCTTCAGTGAAGCGAAAAATAATTTTCATAGAGCAGAATGCCAGTGAATTCATTCAGAATTAGAACTGTACCCAAGATTGCAGTTTTGTTTTACCTTCATTTCTTTAGCTCTTCATTTTCATTATTTCTTATCAGAATTTGCATATCATGTCTACGTTCAGACTGTGATATTGTATTGATTATATTTCATTGTCCTTTCTGCAGTCTGTGACTCCTTTCATACGGCTCATAATAGCAGATATAAAATAGGATAAATTCATCATCGACACAGTATACTTTTTATTACACTTACACTGAAAAATGACAGAGGAAATGACATTGCATTCTGTGTATATGCATTTCTGTCAAGTTACAAATTTTGTTCCTGAAATTTTCTTTTAACCCTCCCACCACAAATATTTGTTTCACTTTTTTACTAAGATTTCATTTTATTGTCTTTTTTTTTAGTTATTTCTGAGATACATTTTAAAGTAATAACTAGAATTATGACTTATAACATTATACCAGAACATACAAGGTTTTTAGAAATTTCATGTAATGTCTGAAACATTTATATTAACATATTTCCATACAAATAATACAAAGAAAGTTTAGTATTAGTTTTTGTTTGTTTGTTTGTACTGCAGGTTCTTATCAGTCATCAATTTTATACACATCAGTGTATACATGTCAATCCCAATCGCCCAATTCAGCACACCATCATCCCCACCCCACTGCGGTTTTCCCCCCTTGGTGTCCATACGTTTGTTCTCTACATCTGTGTCTCAACTTCTGCCCCGCAAACCGGCTCATCTGTACCATTTTTCTAGGTTCCAAATACATGCGTTAATATACGATATTTGTTTTTCTCTTTCTGACTTACTTCACTTCACTCTGTATGACAGTCTCTAGATCTGTCCAGGTCTCTATAACTGACTCAATTTCGTTCTTTTTTATGGCTGAGTAATATTTCATTGTATATATGTACCACAACTTCTTTATCCATTCGTCTGTCGATGGGCATTTAGGCTGCTTCCATGACCTGGCTATTGTAAATAGAGCTGCAACGAACACTGGGGTGCATGTGTCTTTTTGAATTACGGTTTTCTCTGGGTATATGCCCAGTAGTGGGATTGCTGGATCATATGGTAGTTCTATTTTTAGTTTTCTAAGGAATCTCCATAGTGGCTGTATCAATTTACATTCCCACCAACAGTGCAAGAGGGTTCCCTTTCCTCCACAGCCTCTCCAGCATTTGTTGTTTGTAGATTTTCTGATGATGCCCATTCTAACTGGTGTGAGGTGATACCTCATTGTAGTTTTGATTTGCATTTCTCTAATAATTAGTGACGTTGAGCATCTTTTCATGTGCTTCTTGGCCATCTGTATGTCTTCTTTGGAGAAATGTCTATTTAGGTCTTCTGCCCATTTTTGGATTGGGTTCTTTGTTTTTTTCATATTGAGCTGCATGAGCTGTTTATATATTTTGGAGATTAATCCTTTGTCCATTGATTCGTTTGCAAATATTTTCTCCCATTCTGAGGGTTGTCTTTTCGTCTTGTTTATGGTTTCCTTTGCTGTGCAAAAGCTTTGAAATTTCATTAGGTCCCATTTGTTTATATTTGTTTTTATTTCCATTACTCTAGGAAGTGGATCAAAAAAGATCTTGCTGTGATTTATGTCAGAGTGTTCTTCCTATGTTTTCCTCTAAGAGTTTTATAGTGTCCGGTCTTACATTTAGGTCTTGGATCCATTTTGAGTTTATTTTTGTGTATGGTGTTAGGGAGTATTCTAATTTCATTCTTTTACATGTAGCTGTCCAGTTTACCCAGCACCACTTATTGAAGAGACTGTCTTTTCTCCATTGTATATCTTTGTCTCCTTTGTCATAGATTAGTTGACCATAGGTGCGTGGGTTTATATCTGGGTTTTCTATCTTGTTCCATTGATCTGTGTTTCTGTTTTTGTGCCAGTACCATATTGTCTTGATTACTGTAGCTCTGTAGTACAGTCAGAAGTCAGGGAGTCTGATTCCTCCAGCTCCGTTTTTTTCCCTCAAGGCTGCTTTGGCTATTCGGGGTCTTTTGTGTCTCCATACAAATTTTAAGATGACTTGTTCTAGTTCCATAAAAAATGCCATTGGTAATATGATAGGGATTGCTTTGAATCTGTGGATTGCTTTGGGTAGTATAGTCATTTTCACAATATTGATTCTTCCAGTCCAAGAACATGGTATATCAGTCCATCTGTTGGTATCATCTTTAATTTCTTTCATCAGTGTCTTATAGTTTTCTGCATACAGGTCTTTTGTCTCCCTAGGTAGGTTTATTCCTAGGTATTTTATTCTTTTTGTTGCAATGGTAAATGGGAGTGTTTCCATAATTTCTCTTTCAGATTTTTCATCATTAGTGTATAGGAATGCAAGAGATTTCTGTGCATTAATTTTGTATCCTGCTACTTTACCAAATTCATTGATTAGCTCTAGTAGTTTTCTGGTGGCATTTTTAGGATTCTCTATGTATAGTATCACGTCATCTGCAAACAGTGACAGTTTTACTTCTTCTTTTCCAATTTGTATTCCTTTTATTTCTTTTTCTTCTCTGATTGCCGTAGCTAGGACTTCCAAAACTATGTTGAATAATAGTGGCGAGAGTGGACATCTTTGTCTTATCCCTGATCTTAGAGGAAATGCTTTCAGTTTTTCACTGTTGAGAATGATGTTTGCTGTGGGTTTGTCGTATATGGCCTTTATTATGTTGAGGTAGGTTCCCTCTGTGCCCACTTTCTGGAGAGTTTTTATCATTAAATGGGTGATGAATTTTGTCAAAAGCTTTTTCTGCATCTATTGAGATGATCATATATGGTTTTTATTCTTCAATTTGTTAATATGGTGTATCACATTGATTGATTTGCATATACTGAAGAATCCTTGCATCCCTGGGATAAATCCTACTTGATCATGGTGTATAATCCTTTAATGTGTTGTTGGATTCTGTTTGCTAGTATTTTGTTGAGGATTTTTGCATCTATATTTATCAGTGATATTGGTTTGTAGTTTTCTTTTTTTGTAGTATCTTTGTCTGGTTTTGTTATCAGGGTGATGGTGCCCTCAGAGAATGAGTTTGGGAGTGTTCTTTCCTCTGCAATTTTTTGGAAGAGTTTGAGAAGGATAGGTGTTAGCTCTTCTCTAAATGTTTGATAGAATTCACCTGTGAAGCCATCTGGTCCTGGCCTTCTGTTTGTTGGACGATTTTTAATCACAGTTTCTATCTCATTACTTGTGATTGGTCTTTTCATATTTTCTATTTCTTCCTGGTTCAGTCTTGGAAGGTTATACCTTTCTAAGAATTTGTCCATTTCTTCCAGTTTGTCCATTTTATTGGCATAGAGCTGCTTGTAGTTGTCTCTTAGGATGCTTTGTATTTCTGCGGTGTCTGTTGTAACTTCTTTTTCATTTCTAATTTTATTGATTTGAGTCCTCTCCCTCTTTTTCTTGATGAGTCTGCCTAATGGTTTATCAATTTTGTTTATCTCCTCAAAGAACCAGTTTTTAGTTGTATTGATCTTTGCTATTGTTTTCTTTGTTTCTATTCCATTTATTTCTGCTCTGATCTTTATGATTTCTTTTCTTCTGCTAACTTTGGGTTTTGTTTGTTCTTCTTTCTCTTTCCTTTAGGTGTAAGGTTAGATTGATTACTTGAGATTTTTCTTGTTTCTTTAGATAGGCTTGTATAGCTATAAACTTCCCTCTTAGAACTGCTTTTGCTGCATCCCATAGGGTTTGGATCATCGTGTTTTCATTGTCATTTTTCTCTAGGTATTTTTTGATTTCCTCTTTGATTTCTTCAGTGATCTCTTGGTTATTTAGTAATGTATTGTTTAGCCTCCATGTGTTTGTGTTTTTTACATTTTTTTCCCTGTAATTCATTTCTAATCTCATAGCATTGTGGTCAGAAAAGATGCTTGATATGATTTCAATTTTCTTAAATTTACTGAGGCTTGATTTGTGACCCAAGATGTGATCTATCCTGGAGAATGTTCCGTGCGCATTTGAGAAGAAAGTGTAATCTGCTGTTTTTGGATGGAATGTCCTACAAATATCAATTTAATCTATCTGGTCTATTGTGTCTTTTAAAACTTGTTTCCTTTTTTATTTTCATTTTGGATGATCTGTCCATTGGTGTAAGTGAGGTATTAAAGTCCCCCACTATTATTGTGTTACTGTTGATTTCCTCTTTTATAGCTATTAGCAGTTGCCTTATGTATTGAGGTGCTCCTATGTTGGGTGCATATATATTTATAATAGTTATATCTTCTTCTTGGATTGATCCCTTAATCATCATGTAGTGTCCTTCCTTGTTTCTTGTAACATTCTTTATTTTAAAGTCTATTTTATCTGATATGAGTATAGCTACTCCAGCTTTCTTTTGATTTCCATTTGCATGGAATATCTTTTTCCATCCCCTCACTTTCAGTCTGTATGTGTCCCTAGGTCTGAAATGGGTCTCTTGTAGACAGCATATATATGGGTCTTGTTTTTGTATCCATTCAGCAAGCATGTGTCTTTTGGTTGGAGCATTTAATCCATTCACGTTTAAGGTAATTATCGATATGTATGTTCCTGTTACCATTTTCTTAATTGTTTTGTGTTTGTTTTTGTAGATTCTTTTCTTCTCTTGTGTTTCACACTTAGAGAAGTTCCTTTAACATTTGTTGTAGAGCTGGTTTGGTGGTGCTGAATTCTCTTAGCTTTTGCTTGTCTGTAAAGCTTTTGATTTCACCATCGAATCTGAATGAGATCCTTGCTGGGTAGAGTAATCTTGGTTGTAGGTTCTTCCCTTTCATCACTTTAAGTATATCATGCCACTCCCTTCTGGCTTGTAGAGTTTCTGCTGAGAAATCAGCTGTTAACCTTATGGGAGTTCCTTGTATGTTATTTGTCGTTTTTCCCTTGCTGCTTTCAGTAATTTTTCTTTGTCTTTAATTTTTGCCAGTCTGATTAATATGTGTCTTGGCGTGTTTCTCCTTGGTTTTATCCTGTATGGGACTCTCTGCGCTTCCTGGACTTGGGTGGCTATTTCCTTTCCCATGTTAGGGAAGTTTTTGACTATAATCTCTTCAAATATTTTCTCAGGTCCTTTCTCTCTCTCTTCTCCTTCTGGGACCCCTATAATGCGAATGTTGTTGCATTTAATGTTGTCCCAGAGGTCTCTTAGGCTGTCTTCATTTCTTTTCATTCTTTTTTCTTTAGTCTGTTCCACAGCAGTGAATTCCACCATTCTGTCTTCCAGGTCACTTATCCATTCTTCTGCCTCAGGTATTCTGCTATTGATTCCTTCTAGTGTATTTTTCATTTCAGTTATTGTATTGTTCATCTCTGTTTGTTTGTTCTTTAATTCTTCTATGTCTTTGTTAAACATTTCTTGCATCTTCTCTATCTTTGCCTCCATTGTTTTTCCGAGGTCCTGGATCATCTTCACTATCATTATTCTGAATTCTTTTTCTGGAAGGTTGCCTATCTGCAGTTCATTTAGTTGTTTCTCTGGGGTTTTATCTTGTTCCTTCATCTGGTACATAGCCCTCTGCCTTTCATCTTGTCTATCTTTCTGTGAATGTGGTTTTTGTTCCACAGGCTGCAGGACTGTAGTTTTTCTTGCTTCTGCTGTCTGCCCTCTGGTGGATGAGGCTATCTAAGAGGCTTGATGAGAGGCTCTGGTGGTGAGTAGAGCTGACTGTTGCTGTGGTGTGCAGAGCTCAGTAAAACTTTAATCCACTTGACTGTTGATGGGTGGGGCTGGGTTCCCTCCCTGTTGGTTGTTTTGCCTGAGGCAACCCAACACTGGAGCCTACCTGGGCTCTTTGGTGGGGCTAATGACAGACTCTGGGAGGGCTCTCGCCAAGGAGTACCTCCCAGAAGTTCTGCTGCCACTGTCCTTGTCCCCACGGTGAAACAGAGCCACCCCCGCCTCTGCAGGAGACCCTCCAGCACTAGCAGGTAGGTCTGGTTCAGTCTCCTTTGGGGCCACTGCTCCTTCCCCTGGGTCCTGCTGTGCACACTACTTTGTGTGTGTCCTCCAGGAGTGGAGTCTCTGTTTCCCCCAGTCCTGTCGAAGTCCTGCAGTCAATTCCCACTAGGCTTCAAAGTCTGATTCTCTAGGAATTCCTCCTCCTGTTGCCGGGCCCCCAGGTTGTGAAGCCTGACGTGGGGCTCAGAACCTTCACTCCAGTGGGTGGACTTCTGTGGTATAAGTGTTCTCCAGTCTGTGAGTCACCCACCCAGCAGTTATGGAATTTGGTTTTACTGTGATTGCGCCCCTCCTACCTTCTCATTGTGGCTTCTCCTTTGTCTTTGGATGTGGGGTATCTTTTTTGGTGAGTCCCAGTGTCTTCCTGTCGATGATTGTCCAGCAGTTAGTTGTGATTCTGGTGTTCTCGCGAGAGGGAGTGAGAGCACGTCCTTCTACTCCGCCATCTTGGTTCCTCCTCCCATTTTATTGTCTTTTGATTGTCTTCAGAAGACTTAGAAAAGAACTTTTGGAGGCCTGAATGAACCCCTTCCTTTCTCTGCATTGAAAAACTTCTGCTGAGTTCACATTATTCTTAGCATAAAATCCAAGCTGCTTTTGCTTGTCAAGCCTTGTATATCAATATTTTGGACCCTCCCTGCCTTGGTTTAGAAGGATTAAGTAACTTGCCCAATATAACGTAGCTAGTGAATAGCAGAGCCAGGACCTTTCTGATTGCAAATATGTTGTTTAAATCATACTAGTCTGCCTCCCAAGCCCACAAAAGAGGGAAAGCTACAAGCCTGAATTCTTTTTTAAATATAGAGATTTCAAGAACAATTTCACAGCGGAGGTGCTATTTTTAGACTAAGCATCTAATCACATTTGTTGCTGGTGTTATTTTTAGTTTGTTATTATTCGGTCTTGCTCCATGACATTATTCATCCATTCTGGATGTGAATCAAGTTGCTGTTGTTGTTGATTTCAGGTGTCATTGTGTCAGATGACCAACCCGTAGCACCAGTGTCATCTACAGCACCTGGGATGAAAATGGAAAGCTTACCTACTTCTAAAGGGCACATGCCGGAAACCATGACCACGTCAGCAATACCAGTGAAACCAGTCGTGGCAGAAACTTGCATCAGTGATAAAGGGAAGGAAAAAGGGGACCAGGGGCAGCCCCCCTTCTGCCACAGATCTGAGGGTGGCTTGGTGGACAAAGAAGCTGTGAAGAAGGTGCCCTACCTGTCTTTGTCTCAATACGACTTACTGGAGACAGATGTTTCTTTCCAGCCTTGGGGGAGTGAGAATTCCGTCCCGATTCCAGAACCTGGGAATTTTGCCTCCATCAGGGAACGGTTGCAAAGCAAGTCGCCTCAGGACGGCCTGAGCAGTAGCTGCCCTCAGTGTAACACCGTCATCGCCAAACCTGGGCGGGAGCAGGTTTCCCAGCAGGTGGACCCACCCTTGAACCAGGAGGTGGATGACTCAGATAATGAGGTCGCTGTCACTCTTATAGATACTTCTCAACCTGGAGACCTGCTGAGTCTGCACGAGCCCATTAAGATTGTCATCACCATGAGCAGTACCCCCAACTCCATGACAGACTTGGAAAGTTCTCTTCACCTGAAGGTGGTTGGTACTGAGGCAACCGGATTCACGTGTGATGCCGCGCCAGTTCCCCCAGGGGCCGCTGGTCCTGAGAAACAGATGAGAATTCCCATCATCACCCTTGAGCTGTCTGAGGGTGGAGGAGGCATGGTGTGTCCCGAAGGCAATGGAAGTGACAGGACGCCGGAGAGATTGATGATGGAGGCGTCTTCCAATCCATGTTCTGGCTATGAATCTGGGGACGGGGGCGATGCCACACAGGACCACAGTCCTTCCCCAGGAGACCCCTGTACAACCCCATCACCCACGCCTGATGTGGTCTCCAAGTCTGAGGGGGGCATGGAAGTCCAGGCTAACCTTGACCCATCATCTTGTAGAACCAGCCAGGAAAAGAGACACTCCCAAGTCCTCAGTGTAGACAGCGGGACAGACGTCTTCTTGAGCAAAAGTTCCGCAGAAGTTATTAACGATAAAGAACAAACAATGCCAACTTCCAAATCTGACCTGGAGGCCAAGGAAGGACAAATACCAAATGAATCCAACTTCCTGGAATTTGTCTCCCTGTTAGAATCAATGAATACTTCCAAGGTGGTGGTATCCAACCAAAAGAATGAGCCGGCAGAGCAGAGCAAAGACAGCGGGCTTCCTGGAGGTGCGGGCTTCTGTGATTTGATTTTGCAAACAGTGGGATAAGTGTTGTGTAATTGTTGGGTGCTTGGTGTCGTCACTGATATTTGCTGAGTGTATCAAAACTAAGCTGTGTGATGAGCATGGATTAAACCTGGCTTACTCCACCAGGAAATTTAAGGCATAGTAATGAAGATTTGGCTTCCCTAGGCAAGAATGTTTACTTCTAAGGAAATGAGCAGTTATATTTTACCATGGTGACAAGACCCCTGAAGGTAGCTCTTCCTTAATAGAATAGATGCGGAACTTTCCTGGTGGTCCAGTGGTTGAGACTTCACCTCCCAATGCAGGGGGTGCACGTTCGATCCCTGGTTGGGGAGCTAAGATCCCACGTGACTCGTGGCCAAAAATACCAAAACATAAAACAGAAGCAATATTGTAACAAATTCAATGAGACTTTAAAAAAAAAAAATTAAAAAGTAAAGGTATAAAAAAAATAGAATAGATGCATTCTGGGAAAGCTGATTGTAAAGCAAATTTCTGTGAAAGGAATCCACTTTTCTGTTGAATTCCATTATATAATCCTCTGTGCTGAATTCTCTAATTACCCCAAGTTGTAAACATAATTATAACAAACACACAGCTCTTAATTTACGCCGGCACCATCCTAAGGACTTTAGATATTAACACGGGTGACCATCCGTGGTGGTTTGTCCAAAAAGGCCCTCATTAACATGCGTTTTGCCAACATAATTATTAACGCTGCCTTTCACTCTCAAAAGGGTTCCCAGCTTGAGCAATGTATCATACAGTTAGTCTCATTTCCACTCATTTAGTCTTCATGTAACCTTGTGTTATGGGTCCTGTTATCTTTCCTTTTTTGCAGCTGGTTTTCACTGCCTTTCCCAAGTTAGCCTAGTAAGTCTACAACTCAGCTTGGATTCCAGGCAGTCTGGCTACAGAGTCAACACTCATAAATAATAAACTATATTTCCTGTATGAATAGAAGATTCATTCTCTTAATATCTCTGGGCTCAGTTTCCTCCCTGGCAAAGGATGTTACTGGACTAGAGTTGTTATTTTGTGTGTGTGTGTGTGTGTGGCCACTCCACATGGGTTGTGGAATATTAGTTCACCGACCAGGGATTGAACCTGGGGCCAAGGCAGTGAAAGCGCTGAGTCCTAACCACTGGACCGCCAGGGAAGTCCCATGGACTAGAGTTTTTACAAAGTTTTTTAACTTTATTTATTTATTTTTAATTAATTAATTTTATTTTTGGCTGCGTTGGGTCTTCGTTGCTGCATGCGGGCTTTCTCTAGTTGCAGCAAGCGGGGACTACTCTTCATTACAGTGCACAGGCTTCTCACTGCGGTGGCTTCTCTTGTTGCGGAGCACGGGCTCTAGGCGCGCGGGCTTCAGTAGTTGTGGCACTTGGGCTCACTAGTTGTGGCGCGCAGGCTTAGTTGTTCCACGGCATGTGGGATCTTCCTGGACCAGGGCTCGAACCCGTGTCCCCTGCATCGGCAGGCGCCTTCTTAACCGCTACGCCGCCAGGGAAGTCCCAAAGTCTTTTAACTTTAAATGTCCATACTTCTTTGATTTTTGAGTACATCATTTCTGCCTAGATCTCTGAGAGTGTATCTATATGGTAGGATTGCTTACAGGAAGTTGTAGTTCACATGGCAGTAGCATATCTTCGTGCTATGATTGTCCCTTTGCTGCCACCTGTTCTCTGCTCTTTGGGCCAGTCAGGGGGACCCTTTGGCTCTATGCAGGCAGCTCCCAGCGATTTGCTCTTTTCTCTTTTGTCTTTCTGGTGCTCTGCCAAAAGGCTTGCCCTGCTTGTGGGTCAGTCCAATCTTGCCTAAAAATTCATTAAGTCTGAATATTTAAGTTATGTAACGTGAATGCATTCTCCGTGTTACTATGTCTGTGTATCCAAGATTTTGCGTATGGAGTAACAAGAACAGGAAAGATTCTTTATAACAGACACATGCAGTACAAGAAAGCATTGGTTACTTGGAGATACTAGACACTTTCTGATACAAGATTTGGATTCTCACCATCTAATATAAAGATTCACGCATCTTGACCAGCACTGTCTAATAGAGCTTTCTGCAGTGATGGAATTATCCCGTATCTGCCATCCAGGACAGCAGGCACTGGCCATGTGTAGCTATTCAATACTTGAAATGGGGATTGTACAGCGGAGAAATGGAATTTTTAATTTTAGTGAATTTTACTTCATTTGAGTAGCCACATGTGGCTACTGGCTACTGTATTAGGTAATGCTGATCTGGGTGATGTGTTTCTTTCCGGGAAGTTGTGTGTGGGGAGGACAGAGCTCTGGGTTTGGAACTTGACAGCCCAGGGCCAAATTTTGGTTTTGCCGTCCAGCGGGGTGAGCTTGGACAACTCACCATATCCATCTGAGTCACAGTAGCTTCAGTAAAGCAGGAATAATAATACCTTACAGATTTACTGTGATGATTCAAGTAAGAAAATATGTGAAAAGTCTTGCTACTTGATCCATTTCAGCCTTCTATTCTGAGTTTCCCCTCAGGCTATATGTGAAGTTTATTTGGTCTGTCTACTTAAGTTTCTGCTCTTAAACTTTTCAGCCAGCCACGTTCAATCAGAACAGGGTTGAGTTGGAAACCTAGGGGGTGTGCAAAGAGATGTGGATGCTATGAGGTTTTCTATGGAAAGGAACAGGCTTGGTTGTCGGGAACTTGCAGGTACAACAGGGAGGGAGGAGTTGGACTGGATCATATACCTGTTCCAGGCAGGGACAGAGTTTTTTTTTTCATTTAATTTTTTAAAATTACCAAACATTTGCTCTTCTTATTGTCCTGGGAATTACTCTCCTGCTTCCTATTTTTTTTTAATTGAAATATAGTTGATTTACAATATTATATTTATTTCCGGTATCTAACAGTGATTTACAATTTTTAAAGATTGTACTTCATTTAAAGTTATTATAAAATATTGGCTATATTCCCTGTGCTTTACAATACATCCTTGTAGCTTATTTATTTTAAACATAGTAGTTTGTACCTCTTAACCTCCTGTCTTGCCCCTCCCCCCTTCCCTCTCCCCACTGGTAACCGCTAGTTTGTTCTCTATATCTGTGAGTCTGTTTCTGTTTTGTTATATTCACTAGTTTTATTTTTTAGATTCCACATATATGTGATAACATACAGTATTTGTCTTTCTCTGTCTGACTTATTTCACTAAGCATAATAACTACAAGTCCATCCATTTTGTTGCAAATGGCAAAAGTTCATTCCTTTTTATGGCTGAGTAGTATTCCATTGTAAATAGCTATACCACATCTTCTTTATCCATTCACCTGTTGATGGACACTTAGGTTGCTTACATATCTTGACTATTGTAGACACTGATGCTGTGAATACCTTTTCAAATTAGTGTTTTCGTTTTCTTCAGGTATATACCCAGGAGTGGGATTGCTGGATCATATGGTGGTTCTATTTTCAGTTTTTTGAGGAATTTCCATACTGTTCTCCATAGTGGCTGTACCAGTTTACATTCCCACCAACAATTACTAGGGTTCCCTTTTCTCCATATCCTCAACAACATGTATTATCTGTAGACTTTTTGATGATAGCCATTATGACAGGTGTGAGGTAACGTCTAATTGTGGTTTTGATTTGCATTTCTCTGATGATCAGCAATGTTGAGCGTCTTTTCATGTGCCTGTTGGCCATCTTTATGTCTTCTTTAGAAAAATGTCTATTCATGTCTTCTGCCCATTTTTTGAATTGGGTTGATTTGTTTTCTTGATATTGATTTGTATGAACTGTTTATATATTTTGGATATTAACTCCTTATTGGTCATATTGTTTGCAAATATTTTCTCCCAATCATTAGGTTGTCTGTTTGTTTTGACAATGGTTTCCTTTGCTGTACAAAAGCTTTTAAGTTTAATTAGTTCCATTTGTTTGTTTTTGCTTTTGTTTACTTTGCCTTAGGAAACAGATGCAAACAATAATACTATGATTTATGTCAAAGTGTTCTGCCTATGTTTTCTTCTGGGAGTATTTTGTTTTTTGATCTTACATTTAGGTCTTTAATCCATTTTGAGCTTATTTTTGCATATGGTGTGAAGAAATGTTCTAATCTTTTTCTTTTACATGTGGTTGTCCAGGTATCTCTATGGTACTCTTTTTTTTTTTTTTTAATAAATTTATTTATTTATTTTTGGCTACATTGGGTCTTTGTTGCTGTGTGCGGGCTTTCTCTAGTTACGGTGAGCGGGGGCTACTCTTGGCTTTGGTGCGCGGGCTTCTCATTGCAGTGGCTTCTCTTGTTGCAGAGCATGGGCTCTAGGTGCATGGGCTCAGTAGTTGTGGCACGTGGGCTCAGTAGTTGTTGCGCACGGGCTTAGTTGCTCCGCAGCATGTGGGATCTTCCTGGGCCAGGGCTCGAACCTGTGTCCCCTGTGTTGACAGGTGGATTCTTAAGCACTGTGCCACCAGGGAAGCCCTCTATGGTGCTCTTATTTCCAACCCAGGTCATCTCCACAAAGGCCTTTAAATTATCTTTAGGTCTTGGGGATATTCTAGAATTTGAGGTTATGGAAAACCACACCCTTTATCAACAGTCTTTAAAGCCATGTTTTTGTTTTCTTTTGATACAGCTTTATTTTACTTTGTGGAAATAAACAAAGACTGCTCAAATGAGAAGTAGTAAGGCTATCATTCAGAGCTTGCTACAGCGAGAGTCAGCCACCAGCATTTTGGCAGCGACTCCAAGGCAGGCAGAGGAGTGGGAAAGCTTTGTAGTGGAAGAAAGGAAGGCTTTGGGTGTGATTGCAGGCTGTTGGCCTGGGGAAGCTGGAGGTGGGGTAATTAGAGCACCCTATGCTATTGGTTAGGGGAGCGTATTTGGCTCCTTCTGATTGGTTGGATTTCTCTGGTTGGAAGCAGGGGCAAAAATTAGGGAAGCTCTGTTATTATTCAAGTCCTGGCCATTTGGGACTGATTGTTATAGGCGTTATTATTTGGCTTTCTGAGCTATTTGCTAGAAATAGTGGTCTGATTTCCTGCAAGTCTGACTTGTATAGTGTATTGGTTTCTTGGCTGGTTACTGTAGATTATGGGTTGGTTTTCTGGGCTGGTTGCTGTAGATTGTAGGTCAGAGTTCTGTATTTATATATATTGTCTGGCTATTATCCATTTGTATATTCAGTTTCTTCTAGACTTTCTAAGAAGATAATCATGATGCACGTGAAGATGGTTATTGAAGAATTATCTGGAGTATAGACAAATTGAAAGACCCTAAATTTATAACAGTAGGGGTCTAGTTTAATAAATTATACTTTTAAATGTAGTATATACTTCAATTTTTGGTTAATGTAGAAGAATATCTCATGTAAATATTTATAATACTTTAAGATAAATAGAACAGCTATAAAACATTTGTTTTCTAACTGTTCTATTTAGTTTAGTAAATTATATTAATGTAATATTATATAACTTCCATTTTTAGATGATGTAGATGATGTAGGAGAATGTCTAATGTCATTAAATATTTACAATACTTTAAGTCAAATAGAACTGTTATAAATCAACATCTGGATTATGACTTAAGTTTTGAAAAAAAAAATGATGCCTAGAAAAAAATACTGGTGTGATATGTATCATATTGGCTCCTGTAACAGCATGGTGGGGTTAAGAGTAATTTAAGATTTTTTTTCCTTTTCTCTAGTTTTAAATTACATGGCATTCGTGTGTATTATTTTTAGAAACAGAGAATTCCTATCAACGTGTATTTTTAAAGGGAAGAAGAAAAAAATAACCCATAGGTTGACATATGTAATGTGCCCATTTAAGGGAAGGAGAGACTAAGGTATTAAAAGCGAAGCGAATGGATGGGTCCACATACATGTAGTGTCAGAAGGTAGAGCTGTCTAAACATGCCTCCCTGCAGTTTTTACGTGACGTGATCACTGGCTAAAGCTGTTTGTTATGATAGCACTTTCTCACAAATGTGTTTCTTGAAAACTGTGAAAACTTCTATCCTGACAAGCTGTCAAATTGAAAGGCAAACATTTTTGTACCAAAGAAATTCTAATCGTTTCACAGATGCACTGGGAATATTTATCTTCAGGACTCACTTGGAAGCCAGCAGTGTTTCTCTAAGTACTTCAAGTCCAAGGATGAAAATCTTTGTTGTATACATGATGATGTGATTTAGACCCCACTTCACCTTTTGAGACAGATCTTGGTGGGCTTTCTGAATGGCATGTCTTGAAAGAGCCTGTAGGTTCAAACCACTCAATCGTGTTCTTCTCTCAGGCAAAAGTTTATGCAGGAGAAGATAGCTATTGGTATCTTTGGCCATGGGAATACAGAGGACATTGTGACCTTAAAAGTGGCCATTGGGTGTGTCTTTAGATAAGGACGGCTGACCCTCAGGGGTCATTCCACTTTGCATAATGGTGTAAACTAAGACCCTTGTTCTGGTCCATTATTTAAAGAGGATTCTAAAAATTCAAAAACCCGATATATACCTATTGATCTTGGAATTCTAATTCATCTTAAAATATTCTCAGGGCAAGGCGTAGGCATAGTATCTCATTGAATCCTCCAATAGTGCCAAGGTGTGGTTCAAAGTCAGCTCTACTTAATGAGCACCTACTTTATGAAGAGGCCAATTCTACCTTCAGCTTGAAAATTTAGATTTTGAGAATGAGTGAGAAGGAAAGACTGATAAGGTTTTAAAATGCAAAATGAGACTTTACTCCAAAATCACCAGGGTATTTTTGCCATTATTTTCATCGATGCTGTTCATGTATGAGTTATGAACCTTTCAGGACTAAGTTAGCCAAAAGGGTGATTTTCAGCTGGGTAAGCCAGTGGTCACTGGAGTGTTACAAGGGAGTCCTGGAATCCATATGTAAAGTGATGGTGTTTGTAGATGTCTAAATAACATGTCTCTGACACATACACACTTCCGTTTTTCAAAAATATTTAGGTACTTCCATAATTAGTAAAATGAAAATTTATCTAAATAAAATGTATTTAATTTATTTTAAATGTAGTTATTCTGAATTCATAGGAGCTATTTCGATTTTCTATCTATTCTTGCTTCAGTTTTGGTAACTTGTTTCCGAGTATTTTCACCTTAATTTCTTATTTAATATTATGTTAACACATAAAGCAATGTTTTTCAGATAACCGTTCCCAGGAGAAAAAGGAGGAAATCCTAGAGAGTGAGAAACCCAGCGGACCCAACGCCAAGCAAGGAAAACCGGACGTGCAAAGTCAAGAGCACACCAGCACCAGCCCCGGGCTCACTGAGCCTGCCAAGATCCCGACCCTGTAAGGATAACTTACGTCTATAGCTTCATGCTGGTGCAGCCTCATTTACTGGCTGCTTCTTTTAATGCTTTCTTAAGGGTAAGGAGGCATTCCACATGGCTTTTGAAATGTTTATGTATGTTAAGTTTCCAGGGCAATAGACAAAGGCAGATAATCTACAGGGTAACTTCCCAGCAAGATAGTTCTGTGCTGCAAGTCATCAGTGGACCTGAAACATCTGTGCAAGACGAGATGTCTGTGGATGCGATGCATGTCTTTATTGACGAACATGGTAAGTCTTTAGAGCTCTTTACTCATGATGTAGAAGGGGGAAGGCTGGCAGCTTTCTCAAGGTCCCATGTGGTCTCTTAGCCTGAGGACAGGTTTCCCCTCTATCTGAAAGTAGAGTGGTCCTACGAGATCTTTCCTAAACGGAAATGGTATAAAGCAAAGAGGCAGTTACCTAAGGATGCAAAAAAAATACATCAATATAAGACACAGGTGGTCCTAATTCAAAGCTATGGCAGCTTGATGCTGAGATACTGGGTGTAGTTCCTGGGGAGGGAGCTTGGTGATGCTACTCTCATTGCTTGGGGTGTGCGCTGGCTGTATAACTCACGGCAAAACGAACGCTGAATGCTCTTTTCACTTTTAGCCTTTTAGAAGCAGAAAAAATTTTCGGATTTCTTTCAGTTAGCAAAAACATGTACTAAGGGAGGTCTTTCGTAAAAAAATGAGGTGGCGTAAAGCGAACTTACAAAAAGCGGGGGATACCTGTACTAGACTGGAAGAGGAAGGCTTAGTTCTGCTTGCTCACACGTAGTGTTCTTAGAACAGAGTGTGCGCCCTCCTGCCTCAGGGCCTTTGCACATACCGTGTCCCTGTGCCCACACTGCGCCATTTATCCTTCGGATCTCAGTTCTAAAGAAAGTTCTTCGGGAAAACCTTTCCTGGATTTCCCAGGTTTAATCAGGTTCCTCTGCTCTTTTGCTTTCCTGACACCTTATCCTTTTCCTTCTTTGAGACTGTTACAGCTTCTAATCGTTTATTGACTTATAATAATTTGATTAGTGACATTTTCTCCCTCACAGCTGTAAACTTTGGGAAGGTAATGCCCAGCACCTAAGAAATATTCATTGGATATATGTTGAAAATCTGACCCTGATATATTTTTAATACCTTGTTATAAAAAAGATTTTAAAAAGTAATGGAAAGGAAGGACGGAAGGAAGAAAGAACAAGAAAGAAAGAAAGAGAAAGAAGGAAAGGAAGGAAGAACCATTAAAAGGCAAATTCAAGGTTCCTTAGATAAGGGATATAGGTCTTAGTTTCTGTAGGTCGGGTCTTGGGTTGAGTCCCTTATAGATCAATGTAAACTTATTATTCTACTCTCACAAGGATCCTGGTTTGTATAATAAATGATATATTACCCTCTCTATATAGATCAGCGGTTTATAGTTTGAAGTGCTTCTGCATCTGCAGAAATACAAAGAGACTTTTACATTATGAAGAACGACAGTAGCACTTCTGTCAAAGCCTCCAGAGGGGCCGTGGTTGTCACTGTGAATGTTTCTTTTGGGGGTACAACCTTGATGTTGAGGCCCAGCACTGCAGCCTACATTGCAGCTGCTCATAACAGACAAGGTTAATTATGCTTCCCTGTCACCTGCAGAAGGTACGCCCAAAACCTCTTCTGGGGAGAGACCGTTTACATTTACAAAGTGAACTGCTTTTCACACCTCAGTACCCTGAACCACTTTCGCAGGCTAATTTAACTCCGCAAATTAATTCCATCTCTTGCTTTTCCTCATTACCAGGCTGACATACCAGTCAGCAGCTGTGCCAGGGCTCATCTGCAAATTCAGAGGTTGGGATGGCCCCTTGTGGTCCACCGATCAAGCACACACTTAATAAGCCTCTTCTGCACATGATCCAAACAAAACAAAACAAAACCCAGTTACAGCATGCACAGATCATCCTGACACACGAAGAGAATATACGAAAGAAATGCATTGAAAAGAATACGCAGAAGGGGATTAGAAATGGTACAGATTAATCGATGAAAAGCAATTAAGTAATGAGTAACTGAGTCATGTGATATCACATATGTGGAATCTTAAAAAATGGCACAAATGAACAGAAACAAACTCACAGACATAGAAAACAAGCTTATGGTTGCCAAAGTGGAAAAGCGGGGAGGGATAAATTGGGAGTTTGGGATTAACAGATACACACTATTATACATAAAATAGATAAGACAACAAGGACCTATTGTATAGCACAGGGAACTATATTCAACATCTTGTAATCAGCTATAATGGAAAAGAATCTGAAAAAGAATGTATATGTAGATATAACTGATTCACTTTGCTGTACACCTGAAACGAACACAACACTGTGAATCAACTAGACTTCAATGAAAAGTAAGTAACTGAGTCAAACTTGTCTAAGCATATTATCAGAGAGGTACGTCACGATTTTCTTAGCTAAGTTACACATTCTATGGAGAAATACAAAGAATGGACCTAGACTACCAACAATTATCATTAAAATAGTCCAAAATGAGTTCCCTCTAACTTGGAAAAAGTATACGCAGAAATGATCATATACAAATAACTGTGTAATCTTCTTTGCCGAAATTTTGCAGGGGAAATTAAATCCTGTTACTTAAAGTCTGGAAATCAGAAAGAAGGCCCTTTCCAGCATCAGCCATCAAATTATGACGGCTTCTCTCACGCTGGGTAAGTGGGGCTTGTTTTCAGGTTGGGGAAGGTGTCGCGTTGCTGCCCCCAGCAACATACATGCAACTGACTCTGAGTGTAAATGAAGTGAAGATCCTGGTGTAGAATGAAGGTGATAATCCGTCTGTAGGCGGCAAAGCATGTGGGTTTCACGTGAGAGAAAAAGAAAATCAGATATTGTAGAATAATTGAAAATAAACAGAACCACTTTCATAGTAGCCACTTCCAAAAATGAATATGACACGTAGGCATAAATAGAGGGGAACCCTGTGCAAACAGTTATGGGAAAGGTGGTGATGCAGCTCAAGAACGCGTTATTAAATTTGTCTCAAGGGACGGGCTAGAGATGTGGTTAGTTCTCATCTGCACCGACAAGCTCTTTTGTACATAGATGATCTAAACATCCTTTCTCTTCTCCTTTAGCGTGTGTTGAGTAACTTTCTTGATCACGTTAATTAAGTTGATATTGAATTCGCTTGCGTATCCAGAACGTACGTGGATTAATGGTGGCGTCGGGCAAGCTGTAAATCTTATCATTGGTGGACTGAATTCATCCTTCGTCCTGGACTTCAAGATTCTTTGAGGATAACCCACAGGGCCGTGCCTCAGTGGCTTGCTCTGAGTAAGGGAGGAGACTTTTCGCGTACGTTTCTCTAGAGGTGTACGCCTATTTGAGGATGTATGGAAGACTTGTGTCATGTCACGGGGATGCCTTAGGCTTCACGCCTGGAGAGGGTCAAGGGAGTTACAGGAACCCTACTTCCAGATTCTGGGGTGCAGTGTTCCTTCCTAAGGTCAAAGTTTCCTTAGCAGGTATGCCTGTTCCAGTGTGCCTAGAACAAAGTCTGTTCTTGCCCCTGCAATCTGGCCTCCAGGTGGGATTCTGGCATGTGGCAACCTTTTAGGGTGTCCTCTGGTCACCCCTGCTGCTTCTCACCTTCTCAGGAATGCTGGTGTCAGCCGTCATGGTAGATCTGATGGGTGCGCTAGGTGATAGCTCTCCTGGCCTCACCACCCAACCTGGGCGCCGACCCTGAAGCAGCCTGCTCGGGTCCAGAGTCAGTCCTCGGGGGAGACAGGCACCGCCTCCATCACCCACATGCCTTCCACTCTTCCTCTGTCTCCCTCAGGTACCCAAGTTCCAATCAAAACAGACACAACAAAATTCTCCTTCTCCAGCCAGAAAGCTTGCAAAGCACTCATGCCAACGGAGACCCAAGAGGAGTGAGCAGGCTGCCACCCCAATCTTAGTTCCAGCCTCTGAGACATTTTGTTACAGTGGTTTGATGGGTTGAGTCATCTAAGGTGGCAGCTTTGTTCAGACAAAATAATTACATGAGAGCACAGCTTGAAAAGCTGTCCTGTTATTCTACAATCCTCTGTTGAAAGCTGTTGTGTTTTTAAACTAAATTTGGAACAAAAACACGCCTCCTATTTTATCCCCAAATAAATTTACATGGCTTTTTCATGTTTATTTTCCCAGATAAATGGACTACACTTTTCCCCGAGGAAAATACTTGAACTGCTTTTGCCGGTAATGCCAGTTAGAATAAGACCACATATCCAGAGCCTTAAAAAACGAAAAATACACAGCGTGCAGATAAGAATGAAAGAGAGTGCCTGTAGGGTTTTCAATAAGTCCCGCTTCCTTAGACCGTGCCTCACGAAGAGACACCATTAACTCGCTTTCTCCCTTTAATTTCTCTCTCTTTATTAGTTTTCCTCCAACCCTTGCTTTCTTTTGTTTCCTCTGCATTTCTTTCCCACGTTAGAGCTCTTTTTTGTTTAACTTGCCCTCCATTTCGAGACCCGCCTGGGCTTGGCTTTGCCGCGGTGCATTTACTCTGGTGAAAGAGCTGTTGCCCAGGGTAGGTTTGGGCAGTGCTGGACGACACCGAATGTGTTTGTGCTGAGTTTTCCTGTCAAGCCCTGTGGCTTAGGGGAGTCCCAGAATGCCATTACGTCCCTAGATCTGCCTCTTCATGTACATAGAACAGTTAGACCCTTTCTGTTACACATGAGAGAAATCCAAGTCCAACAGCCTTCACCGAAATGGGAATTTGGAGGCCAGGTAACGGAGACGTCTTGGGTAGATGTCTTCAAGGGTGTGGTTTCTCTTTCTCCGTCACCCCTCCCGTTGCTCTGTTTTGACATCACTCTCAAACAGTTCACCCTGACAGTCAAAAGATGTCTGCAGCAGCCCCACTTACGTCTTCTCTCACTCATGTCCACTGGGGATAAGATGCTTCTTTCCCATAAACCCCAATTTAAGTCTCACTTTGTATCTCCTTCGTTCTGACTGGGCCACCTGGAACCCTGAGCCCGATTACCAAGGCAAGTACTTGGCTGGCGTCTGTGTTCATACACAGAGCTGGACAGGTTCCCTCTGAGAATGTATGGGGGCAGCTCTTCAGTGGGAAATTTGGAGTTGGGTGGATGGATGCCGGGCGACAAAAATCGGCACATGACACCTGGGACTCTCCTTCTGGTTAAACGGCAATTGAGTTAATGACTGTGCTTCTTTAAAGAGAGTAACGATCAAATTTTATAAAAGCAGCTTTCTTTTATAAATGTCCCTGTCTATCTCTTACATTTCTTGTATGTGAACGTTCCGATGGACAGGGTCGTGGCCCACCAGCACCACATGCTAAGTTCTAAGTGCTTGACTCCCTGTTCTTTCCCCAAGGAAGTTTTACAGGGCATTGGTGTTAAGAGTTCTAGGAAAGAAATGGCCCATAGCCGCACACATCTCTTTCTTATGCCTAAAGATAAAAAAAATAATATACACGTCTGCTATTATATGTCTAGACTATTACTTGAGAATATACATGTCCTTTGTACTATTACTCTTTGAAATAAGTTAGTCCTTTAGAGGGGACTTTGTTCTGGAGTACCGTGGCCTTTCAGTGGCCCATTTGGTCATAGGAGATGTATGGTGCTTCCTGTTTGATGCTCAAGCACAAAACTCGAGTCAGTTCACTTAGCAAAATTATAGCGTTGAAGCTGTTCCCAGGGCGGTTCTGGAAAAGCACTTACGGGGACGCCATCTGTTTAATTCATGCTCAGAAAAAATGGCTCAGTCCTCTGTAGAGTCAGATGATCTTCTGGATTTCAGCTGCTGTCTGACAGGCTTATGGTAGATATTCCAACAGCCTCACACTCCTCCAGACTCAGAGATGTTGAAAGCCATGCCACCCATGCACGGGAGGCTAATTTCTTTGGATTTGTAGTAAGCCTTGGCTTCCATGGGAGCGCGTGTTATAGTGACGGTTTGGGTATTTTCGAATTGGTTGTATGAAAGAAAACTTGTGCTAAAATAGGATGATAGCAAGCGAGCTGGTTGAATTTGAATATATTAATACCTGCATTAACATACCTGTGTGCGTGTGTCATCTGTTACTTTTTTTTTTTTTAATTTTATTTTATATTTGGCTGCGCTGGGTCTTTGTTGCCACGTGCAGGCTTTCTCTAGTTGTGGCGAGTGGGGGCTACTTTTTGTTGCAGTGCACGGGCTCCTTATTGCAGTGGCTTCTCTTGTTGTGGAGCACGGGCTCTAGGCACGCAGGCTTCAGTAGTTGTGGCTCGTGGGCTCAGTAGTTGTGGCTCACGGGCTCTAGAGCACAGGCTCAGTAGTTGTGGCGCAGGGGCTTAGTTGCTCCACGGCATGTGGGATCTTCCCGGACCAGGGCTCAAACCTGTGTCCCCTGCATTGGCAGGCGGATTCTTAACCACTGAGCCACCAGGGAAGCCCCATCTGTTTCTTTAATGCTAGAGGTAAATACACATCAGAGCAGCACACAGCTGATCAAGTGCAATGACAGCGGGTCAGGAATTTGTAACTTGGAAGGGCCAGGGCACTCAACACCTTACACCTGCGTTCCAGTGCGCCTTTCTGTGGGAAGCAATGTCCTGGCAGTTCCTGGCCCTGAAGGAAGTGTTTTCCTGTCATCGTTATGGTGGCAGCAGCCAGCGTTACTAAAGGTGTATTTTGCACTAAGCACTGTGCTGACTATTAAATTATCCCATTTCATCCACCCGACGCAACAGAGGTAGGTGATATTCACTCCATTTGACAGAAGAGGAAACTAAGACCGATGAAGAAACAGGCCCGACGTCAGTACCTAAGTAAGTGAACAGGGGACACTTAAATCCCACCCCCTGCACTGTCCCCCCAGCAGGGGCTGCAGCCTCAGTTCCCTGGCGCTCAGTCAGGTGAAGTGGGCCCAGGGTTGAATGCTAGGGGTGTTGGGTGCTGAGTCCTTTGGAGGGTATTTGTCCTACCCTCAGAGGGCTGCTTCTTCTTATCTTCAGGGTGCTTATGCCAGCTTGGGAGGCCTGGGTGAGCAGATTTTCCAGGTCTTTCCACAAGGAGCTAGAAATGCCCGTGTATCTGTAAAAATCTATTTTGTTTAATGTTGTCGATTTTAACTTCTTTTGAAATGCCACAGGCCACAGATGGCATGTTTGTGGCTGGCCACGGCCTGTGGGCTCCCTAAGCCCGGGCCCTCACCTGGTACTCTGAGACCAGGGTGGAGCAGCCCCCTTGCTAACACATGTGATCTCGGGGTGCCCTTATGCGGCCCCCCGCTCCTCCAGGCCCCCTTCGCAGCCCCTGCCTCACCTCTCCTCCCCCTGAGGCCCGTGGAACCGACCTTCAGCCCTTCCTCTTCCTGGTGTCTGCCCTTCTTTGCCTAGAACGCCCTTCTCCACTCACATCTACCTTCTGGAGTTCTCTTCCTTCAAAGCACACATTACCATCTGCCTCTTTTATCTGTCTTTCCCTTGTCCCTACCCTGGCAATAAATCCATCCCTCCATGCTGTCACCAGAGGAGTGCTTACCACATTCTCCCAGATGCAGGACACTCCCAGCTCTTCTTCCAGACTGTTCTTTTCTAAAGAAAAGTGACCATGGCTAGGGGGCCTTGATAGCCCTCACTTAGCTCTCTGCAGGTAGATGTTCAGTGAATAGTGCACTGAATCAAGTTAATCGTTGGAGATG